AAGTGCTCAAAAACTGAGGTGTTTATTATAGGTGCTAAGTAGTTACCGAGTGACTGGATAACCAACAGCGAATATCTGTTCCTACAGGCGGGGCTCCCCGGGTGGCCTCACAAGGAGTGAACAAGCAGGGACCCTCTTACTTTGATGGAACAACCTGCAAATGCTAATAACTCTAAGCCCTTTTCCTCAGTGAGTTTTCTTGGCGAGTTCTCTTCCCCCTGTGATTCCTTTACTCGCCTGCATACAGCCTATAAGCCTGCCCACAGCATTTTGGAAGTCCAAACCAGCAAAGCATCTGAACGTTTTTGATGTTCAGTATGCAAACTTTTAATTAATGGACCCATGTTTAATAGGGTTCATTGATTCTTCATTCATTTGACAAACATTTACCAAGTTGCTATTAAAAGCCAAGTGCCATTCTCAGTACGTGAGGTCTATCAATAGCCAAAATAGACTAAAATTTTTACTTTGGGGAGCTGATATTTAGCTATGGCAAGTGTTCTTGAGTGCAGAATTCCCTTCTCGAAAATAAGCCCTAACCCTCCATCAGGTGGGGGGTGGGTCTTGATTGAGTTGGCCGGAGAGACTGAGGCTAGAGCTGCTTAATAATAGGCACTCTCAAAATGGACCTTTCCTCTAAGGCTTGAGGGTCTGGTACTTGGTCCCAACTTCAGAACATGACTAATACAACTACCCTGAGAATTAAATGAGATCAGGTATGAAAAATGTTAGCATAAGACCTGGGCCCAGCAGCACATGTAATCTAAAGGAAAGTCCACTTTGAACCCAGCCAGAATCTATGCTCTTCTAATGAATTTACATCTTTATGGCCTCTGGTCACTCCTAGGAGGGAATCAAATCTCCTTCCTATACAAAGATTTGTTCCCTGAAACTTAGTTCAGGTCTCCAGAAAGGCACACAACAGGCTCACATTACTTCTGACAGTTGGGCTTAGGAGACGGGTTCAGCATGTTGACCCAGAGTTCCTAAGACCTGGAACCAAAGCCAGAGCTGATAAGCAGAATCAACACTTACTTGGTCATCTCTGTATTCCTCCTAATCCAACCACCTTTGAAGATAGATTGGGTCCACGTGGCTAGTGTAGGCCAGTGGAAAGGAACCAAAAGTCATGATGTCACTTCTAAGTGAGGTGCCAAAAACCCGGAGTGCTTTCTTCCCCTCTCTCCTTTGGGGTGATATCAGAGTTGGTATGTTCCTCAAAATGACTACAAGATGGTGAGTGGGGAAAAAGAAATCCTAGATACCTGTGTGACTGTCTAGAACAATTCACTCCAACCCAACCTGCAAGACAACAAAAAATTTAAATATTTGCTAAAGTGAACCATTGAGATTTATTATTAGACTATCCCTAGGGAAATAGATCAGGTTAAGAGACTTTTCAGGGCCCAGGATGTAGCTTAGTGGTGCCACACCTGCCTGACAAGTGCAAGGTCCTGAATTCAATCCCCTGGTACTAGAAAAGAGAGAAGGGGGAGTGGGGGGGGAGAAGCAGAAGGAGGAGGAGAAGGAGAGAACTTGTAAAGATAAAATAAAAAGAGTTTTCAGCGCCCATTAATGAGAGTGGGAAATTTGGACCAACCTCCCAGTAGGAGAGCTGAACAGAACATTTTTTCAATCTTCTTTTGAAAGCATCGGAAATACAGCATGGCATGACAAGTTATCGGTGACCACCTGACCAACTGACAGCAGATGAAAACCCAGACACGTGAGCCTGACATTTGAGCCCTCTTCCCCTGGGAGCTGGCATCAATTCTGACAGCAGTACCGCGTGATGGCACAGCCCTGTGACTGACAGCCTGGTATGGGAATGGGGCAAAAGTCACAAAAGTGAACACTTGACCCTGGTAAAAGCACAGCAGTATGAGATGGGACCCTGAAGTGCTGTCCTGTAAGAGTGACAATGAGTTGGAAGTAAAAGAGCATTCACGTGGTCTGTGGCACAACTTCAAATCATCAGGGTGGCCCAGAAAAACCTCAGCTTTGCAGCTGGAGTAAGATGACTTTAGATCACTAACGTCCTCTGCTGTGGTTCATATCTGGATGTCTCCCCAAACCACACACTCATTGGCAGGGTTTTTGGAGATGACTGAATCATGGAGTTGTAGAGCTGTGATGTCAGGAGGGAAGACCTGGCCGGAAGGGGCGGGTCCCTGGGGCGTGATCCGGAAGGGGATACAGTGGTAGCTCTGCTCACAAATTTAATTCTCTCCACAATTCTGGCCACAAACCACATTGAACGAAAACCGAATCAAATTCAATAGTTAGGTTCAGTGGTGACCTGATGGGGAAATTTGATTTGGTTCTCATCCAATTCGGCTTGTGACCAGAATCATGCAGAGAATTGTTTGTGAAACTAGGCATGGCTGTGTCTCTCCCCCTGGCTCCTCCCTCTCTCTGCTTCCTGGCGCACGATGTGAACAGCTTTCCTCTTCTCAGATCCCGCTGGCCATGCTGCTGACCGTGCAAGGACTGAGGCTAAGACACCGTCAGGCTCCAGGGAGAAAAACACAACCTACTTGGAAGAAAAGAAATTGTTTTAAACCTTAAATTATTTTTTCAAACAACTTTTCAAATGTAAATGTGATACCATCAAAGAAAACCTGGCACAGACCCAGATAGGATAATATGAAGAGGAAGCAGAAAAATCAACAAAAAATAGAAACAGAATTACATAGTCTCCATACAATGGCACTGACCAGACTTAAAGATAATTCTGTTCTACTTTCTTGTACAATACACAGTTGACATTTTCAGCAGAGAACTGGGTGTATTTTAATGAAGACAGAGCAGAAATGAAAAGCGAACCAATAAAAATTCTACAACTGAAAATACAGCTGAAATTAAGACTGCCAGTAACCGGCATACGGGTGCACACTTGTAACCTCTGCTCTCCAGCAAGGTGAGGCAGGAGAATTGTAAGTTCAAATACATCCTGGAAAACTTACTTCAGGAGACCCTGTCTCAAAATAAAAAGGGCTGGGGATGTAGCTGGGTCCAATCCCCAGTACCACAAAGAATAAGAATACAATGGATGGATTTTTATAAGATTAGACCTTACTGAAGGGAGAAATAAAGATCTGAAAAAATCAGAAGGACATACAGAGAAGTCAAAAGGCTGCAAAATGCAGAGTAGGTGATCAGAGACTCCTAGAAAGAGAAAATGAAGCAAAGGCAATATCTTAAGAAATAAAGGCTCAGGGACAAGGCAAAGATGTCTACCCTCACCATTCTTTTTCAGTATATTTCTTGAAATTGTAGCTAAGCATTTAGGCAAGAGAAAAAAATAAAAGGGATACAAATAAGAAGTCAAATGATTCTTGTTTGAAGATAATATGATCCTCTTCTTAGAAGATGCTACTCTACCAAAAGTCTTTTAGAACTGATAAATGAATTCAGCAATGTATCAAGCTACAAAAATCAACATTTAGAAATCAGCAGCTTTACTATACAGCAGTAACATACTAGCTGAGACAGAAAACAGGAAAACAATCCCATTCACAATGGCTTCAAATAAAATAAAACACCTAGGGATCAGTCTAGCCAGGGAGGTAAAAAGACCTCTACAGTGAAAATCTCAGAACACTGAAAAAGAAATTGAAGAAGACACTAGAAGACAGAAGGACTCCCACGTTCACGGATTGGCAGAATTAATAGTCAAAATTATTCATAATCTTAACTTTTTTGTTTGTAACTAGAAATACAATCTATTTAATGAGTTGGTATCTTGGTATATTATTTCTCAAACTATTTTTTTTAAACTAGGGATTGAACCTAGAGCATTTGAACTGAGCTACATCTCAAACCCCTTTTTTATTTTCCATTTTGAGACATGGCCTCACTAAGTTGCTCTATTTCCCAGCCTAAGTGCAAACTTGCCATCCTTCTGCCTCAGCCTCCCAGAATGCTGCGAGTACAGGTGTGAGCCACCACATGTGGCTACAGACCTTTTTCTAGAATACATAAATTTTTTTTAAGAAAGAGAGATAAGGCAGAGAATTTTCCAATGCTATATGAGACATAGATCTACAGACTGAAATTTAAGTGAACTTGTCAGAGAAAAGAAGAAAATCTTAAGTCAAAAATGAGTCTAAGTGTTTTAGTTTGAGCACAAGAAGGATGTGAATAACTGGGATGAGAACAGAGAAGCAAGAATGGGTTTAGCTGGGCTCAGAAGGAGCTTGTGTGAAACAGAGCCAGTAAAGTCCAAGGCCAGGATAACAAATGGTCCACAGTTCTTTGAATAACTATTTCTCATCATATTCAGGTATAAAAAATACTGTGGCCAAGTTATGGGCAAAATATGAAACATTTGCACATGACACCAATTTCAAATGATGCAATAAATACAACTTTGTTTCACAATCTAAAAAATTTTCTTAAGGATTCTCGTGAGGTTTTTTTTGTGCATACAGTTGTTTTACTTTATTGAAGCACTCGCAGACTGGCTACTATAAATTTCTGATTTTAAACTTAGAAAACAGCACATTTTCACAATAAATTCTTGGGCTCATGGATGAAAATGACACAGCATGCTTTATTTACAACTGAAAATGTCCCCCAAAAGGCTAAAAGATGATAGTGATGATGATATACATTTATTAAGCACTTCTATATGCCAGGAACTATTCTACAACACTTACATTTAATTCACTTATTAAAGAGATTTAAAGATGTCTGATAACATAAATGATGTATCAATAATATAAAGAATATCATTTAATGGAAAGTCAGATAATTCTTTATTAATCCAGGATTATTCTTTTTATAAAATATGTTACAACTCCATTGCTATAACTAGGGGCTGGAAATATGGGGAAAACTAGAAGAAAGATAACCACTGTATTATAATAAATTACAAGTATATCTATAATTTTCCATGATATTGAAGTCTTCTGAAAATAGAAATAAAGGCTTCAAAATAATTGAACATGAAAATAGTGCTATTTTCAAATAACCTTTTACATGCCAATATTATCTTTTTAAATATATCTAAAGAGTATCCATGCTATTGCCTAATGTGACCAAAAATTAATTTTTCAACAGCAACTATAGGTCCAGCCGTCTCAAAGGTTTTATTCTAGAATTTTCCTGTGTGGCTACTTCTGTATCATTGTTCTTTCTCTGAATATCATTCCAAACAGAGTCATTCTGGACACTTCAACCATAATTTTGTGTATTCTGATCAAACTTCCTAATATAATCACCAGCAGAAAAGGCTAAGTATACATTTTAAACAGAAGACTCAAACAGAATTTTACTTCTGAAAGTATTGTCTTAAAGGTTCATCAGTAATTTGGGATATAGTTTAGCCACAATCTTGCTATTATAGAGAGTTGAAATTTAATAGCCAATCCTTTGTTTACTTTTTTCCAACCATTCTGATCATTGGGTTCCTAGAAAGTTGGCTATCTTGCTTAGCTTTTTTTTTCTTTTAAACCTATTTGAATCTCTCATGTCATCTATGATCCTTATTAAATTTAAAAATAAAACCTGTAAATTCACAGAAATACTGACTCTTCTGATAATATAAAATGCTCAGGGTCTTTGGATCCAGAACCTTGCATGACAAACATTCGAGTCCCCTCAGCCCAGTCAGCCTGAATGTTTACCTACAAGTAACTCATCCATCTTCAGTTTGCATTCTTTAAAAAAAATATATATATGTTCTCTACACTGAGCTGAAATTGTTTTTCCTAAAACGGCCAGTTATTTGGGGCTTCACCAATCTCAGAAGTGGCTCTGACAGAATGACTGTGGGCAAGTTAATCCCTTCGTTGTAAAATGGGGAGAATAAACGTATGCAGTAGGGCTGTGGAGATTAAATATGGACTTTATAAAGCACCCGGCACAAGAGGGCCTCCGTGAGTGATGGCCTTTATTAGGGACAGGAAACCCTCCTCTACATGGCTGATGTGGTAGCAACTCTCATTTCCTCTCCCCCTGGCCCAGCAGTCCCATCGCCTTCAGTATTTCTTTGAACAACATGCTATTATCTTCCTTATTCTTCTACTCATTCTTTTCTGAATAAGCTCAGTTCTTTGAGAGAAGGACCAACTGCCAATCCAGAAAAAAATAATTATGAACAAGTATCTTATCAACTGAGGGCAAGTGGCATACTCGTCTTCTTGCAAGATAGTATTTCTCTTTTCTCTGATGCTGGTTTAATCTTCTGTCCTTCCCGCCTTGCTCCAATGTCCACATATCTGGCCCCCCGGCAAGCAGGCTATGGGAAAAGCAATAGGTATGGATACTTTCTGGTCCTAAGGTGAGGAGAAGACGTTAGGGTGTGTCAGAGAAGATTCCTTCTTCGTTCTGGTAGGAAGCCAGCTCTTCCTCCTCCAGGGCTGCTCCGCGCTGTCCTATCCCCTCCTTCCTCTGAACTTCACAATTCTGGGTGGTGGCTCCATAAGACATCTTCTTCCTGGGACTCACGAAAGCCTCATAGTTGAGTTCTGTCTCCTCCGCTAGTTCATCTTGGTCGATGATTCCACATTTCTCCTCTGAAAGATTCTCAGGGTCAGCCCAGTCCTGTTTCTCCCCAGAAGCAAAGACCCCGTAGAAGATCACCCCACTGTAATGCACCAGGGCAGCTATGAGGAACACGTTCTGCCATTCCTCCCGGGTCTAAACAAGGAAACAAGTGTCGGTTAGCGTCTTCAAACCAACAGAGGTTCAGAAGCGGGCCCTGCAGGCCTCCACCGTCCTCTCCCTCAAAAGCAATGCTAAGCTTCTTAGAAGGATGCACGTCAGAAGCAGCGTGCGGGACCCATATCTAATTTGAGTAATCACGAAATAAAAGTTAACACTACAATGAATGAGCACTTTTGATTTTAAAAGTAACATGTGATTTTTTAAATGTAAAATTATGTATCACAACCTTGCACAGCTCTCACATCACAGGCTAAATTAAACTTGCTTCAGAGCGCCAGGATCTCAAACAGCAAAGATCTTCTTGCTGTTGGATACATCACAATATTGGAGCCAGTAAAGCGCCAAGCTTGACTACCAAAAGCTTGTTCATAATCATATTTTCTATATGAAAAGCAATAAATAGAAAAATAATGGGAACTTGTATGTAAAGTCAGGGGAAGATAATCATAGATTTACTACACTTGTTACCAAACATATCACGTCCTCAAAAGAGATGCAAAACATGGATCCTCTGGCTGTAAAATGCACAAATCCCACCTTTTTTAATCAAAAAACAAGAAAACTCACATTTTCTTCTCCAAGGTCAAAGAATTTATGAAATCACACTGATAATAAGCAATGCAACTAAGAAAATGGTTCGGTTAAAAAAAAAAAAAACCCAAGACATAAAAAATTTCTATTTTCAGAAAGCAGCAACCTGAAATTTTTCAGTGACAGGGATCCAGTGTGTGGACTGTGGCCCAACTGAGACAAACCACGGTGCAGCAAATCCCCGCCCAACCCCACCAGATTAACTATACAACGCTTTGGCAGTGACTGAGAGCCAGGCCCTCAAAGGTTCTTAGTAAGGGTAGTGAGTATCTTATTTTCTTCTTTACAAGGAAGTATAACTGCATTAATATTTTTATGTTGTAACATGCTAAGCAATAGATGAAGACAGGTTGTAAAGTTTAATCACTTAGAATTATAAAATAATCCCGAGTAAATCATTTATCCTGAGTTGATTGCCTCAGTTTCTTCTTGCATCTCAAAGAGTTTCCATGGCCTTCATCCTCCTCTATACCTTTGTCAGTTAAGAAAATGTGGCACCACACAATAATTAGCCCTGGTGCCATCAACAAACAAAGACTTTGAAGAGCAGGAGGAGGTGGAGGAAAAATGTGTTCAATGACTCAGCCAAGGCCAGGAGCACACACGTTTACAGGCAAGGGTAGGGCCTCAAGATTTTCCATTTGCGCGGTGCTTCTGACCTCTAAGACTATAACCCGTAGCCGCCAAGGAGGCCGTTACCTTGTGCCTCGTCATCGCACCGACAATGAGCGGACAGACCATTCCAGACAGGGTCCCCACGCCATTGGAGATCCCCATGAGAATGCTGGCATAACGAGGGGCAATGTCCAGGTGGTTGACATTAAAACCTAGAGGGAAACCAAAACCTCAAGATCAGAGGCAAGAACAGAATTCCAGGTGCCTTTTGGGAAATCTCCAGCTTCCCCCAAGTCTTAGCGATCTATCCAGTTTCTTCTACAGGGGACTGCTATATGGATGCTCCACCAAGAGCACTGGCGTGAGCATCGCCAGGCAGTGTCTGGGCAAAGCAGGAGAACATGGTATCTGTGATCGACTGGTAATGTCTGCTGCGGTCCTTGGTGGGGAGAAGTACAGCACGTGTGCCCTGTAGATCTGGAACTCAAAAATACAGCATTTGGGGCGAGACTGAAAAACCTAATGCCTGGACCACATTTATGCAGAGCAATCAAGCCCAGCAGACCCAGACCCACTTCATAAAATGCCCATTTCCAGCCCTTGACTCATTCCTACAACACTTCCCTGGGTGAGCCTGCCTGGAACCAGCGGGCACAATTGGGGAGGATACTTTTTGAAAAGAAATATTTGCACAAATATTGGCAGAGCCCTCCACCATTTACAAAACAGTTTCACCCACCTACTTGATCTGGAGCCTGCACAATTAGATTCCAGTCCTCTTCCCTCTAGGTAAGCAAGGACTTTTCGGCCTGCGTTTCCTTATCACTTAGGTGTGCGTGACATGATTGCTGACCCCCTAAGGCGCTGTGCCCGAGACCCTGGGGAAGAGTGTCCTCAGGAGCCCTTGGCAAACAGCCAAGCTGCACTGACTGCTGCCATGCCAGTTCCCAGTTCCTGCTAAGCCTCTCCTGTGTGTGGGGTCTTCTATCAAAGATAATGTGGCAAAGAGTCAGAGATTTAGCTCAGTGGTGCCGCCATCTGCCTCTCAAGCACAAGGTCCCGAGTTCGATCCTCAGTACCAAAGAAAAGGTAATGCTGCAGAAGTGGTAAAATAACAACTCACCACCATCTTACTGTTAATGTATTTATCAGGAGAAAAGCTAAAAAGAAGGAAGGGGAGAGGTGACATCAAGACCAAGCTATGCAAGAGGCTTATGGGGCTGGAAAACAACTCTGCAAGAATTTCCTAGGTGAGCTTCAGAGTCAAACAGACTTAGCTCTGGTGGCTTAAGATACAAGCCTGGATGAAGAGTCAAAATGTCCTGAACTGCAGCTTCTTCATCTATAAATTGGAATGAGCATTCTTATAATATTGCTGTAAGATTAAGTCATAAAGCCAGGTGTGGTGGTGCACTTGGGAGGCTGAGGCAGCGGGATCACCATGAGTTCGAGGCCAGCCTGGACAACATAGTGAGTTCAAGGCCAGCCTAATCTACACAGTGAAGAAACCTTGTCTCAAAAAACTTCAAGTTAAATAATGTATGTTAATCACGTGGTAAATAGAGGCAAAAGACAACACGTATGCTCTCCATAGAGAGGTTTATCACCATCTTCCCTGAACTAGCAAAGTATCTGACACATAGTAGTCACTCAATAAATAGTTATTAAATTCATTACCAATGTGAGCCACAGAAATTAGAGCAAGGAGTTGTAGAATTTGTTTATTCATTATTTTTTGTTTTCCCTTGTTTATTGCTTAGAGAATTAATTAGCTATTCAGGCAAAAAAAAAAAACTGAATATAGGGTTTAAAACAAGTTTTTTCTTACCCGGCACATTGGTTGACTATTTTTTTTCCTACTTCCATTCAGGGAAAAATTTTGAGAAAACATTTTTGTCATAAACACACCATTCTCTTTCAGATCAAAGTGCCAGACAATCAGAATATAAAACACCTGCAAGAATAATTAATCTTATGGTTTATTTGAATGTGATAAATACTTTATTAGAAAAGAACCCAGAGATAAGAAGCAATTAATGTGATTGTCAAGTATTGTATTCTGTTACAAAGCCCAGGCATCTGCGTTCAGCTAGAGCTAATTTGAGCAAAGCCACTTAGGTTTCTGGCTGCCCAAGCCTGGTGTTGGGCAGGGGGTGCTCACGGAGAAGCTGAGGCATTACAGGTTTTTGTAGAAGATGAGAAAAGTGGTGGGACTGCACCAAGAGTCTTTCTCCATTGCACGTTTCCTACATGGAAAATCGTATCCTTCGCATCTTCCTAACCTCACCTGTCCCAGCTCTCTCAACTATGGTCGGCCCTGGTCTTCCCAGCATCCCAACTGATTCCTTACTTGGCTGGCAGACAGGGGGTTCCTGAGAACCCGTCACCCCCATGACCACAGCCCCTCCCTTAGCACCACTGTTGAGTCAGGCAGAACCTAATGCCAAGCTAAGAGCCTCTGTTTCCTCATCAGCAAGGTGGGCATAGCAACGCCCCTCTCCTAAGATTGTGATGGAAGTCAAATAAGGTCAGGTTTGAAAAGCAACAAGGATCCAGTACTCTGAAAAAGCAAGGGAGCTGAGTGGTTGGGGGTGTTGAATTTCCCTCCGGATTGTGGCTTAATTGGCAATCTGGGGAAAGGAAACGGTGTGAACCCAAACACTTGCACCATCTCTAGAGACAGGATATGAAGGTCTTCTGCATCATAGTTACTGGGGAGGGTCAGGGGCTTGGCTCAGTGGTTCCACCACCTGTCTCGCAAGCACAAGGGTCCAGAGTTCGATACCCGTTACCAACAGCAAAACAAAACACACCAGGCTTTATCCTGTAGTTACTGGGGAAAGTGCTCTTCGGCACCCTCCTGGAAGCAGTTGACTGCTTCATCCCTGCTACTCGAAGTGTAGGCACCAATCAGCACCGCTGCAGAGATTGCAGGGTGCCATCTGGACCTACTACAGCAGCATCTGCCTTCCCTACCATCTCAGTGGGGTTTGTGTACACTAAAATGTGAAAAGTGCCAGGTTAGGGTGCACAAAAATAGAACAATAATAACAGAGAATGCTTATTAATTCTATTCCGCATCTGGCACTGCACAGAGGCCTTCAAAGACCTCATTTCCAGTGTAATGTTTACATTAGAAGGGCGGAATCTTTGATTTCTTCCCTGCATTGACCCTAGGGCTGCAGTGCCTAGCTGGTCTCGGAAGGATCTCAGTTCATCCCCCAACCACCCTATGAAGTTGCTCCCTAATTTCTGGATGAGAGTTTAAATAATAAAGTAAATTTTTTCTTTGATAAGTAGTAAATACTCAAGAAAGGCCTAGGGCTCAGGATTTAGCTCAGTGGTTCCGCTGCCTGCCTTGAAAATGCAAGGTCCCGAGTTCGATCCCCAGTACCAAAAAAGAAAAGAAAAGAAAGGCATCAAACCCAGGTCTATTTACTTCAAAACCCAACTTTTCAGCTGTTTGAAAGTAGACCTTTGGTTTTTTTTTCTAATTTCACTATTCATCAGCTCTATTTATGTTGATATATACATCAAGCCCCCATTTTAAGAGTATATTAGACCAGAAGTTCTGTATTTTTTGGTTCTGCAACGTCACCAGTCTGATATTTAAACTAGCCTGGGTTAATAGAAAGAGAACAGATGTGGGGCCAGGCGGAACTATGCTGTGACCTTCTTCTGCCACCAACTTTGGGGTATAAGGGAAGGACCCAATATTTCTGAACCTTGGTAGATATCAGTAAAATAGTGAAAAATCAGCAAAATGCCAATATTCCTGATAGTCGCAATGTTGTGAGAGAATGAAATTATGTAAAATTTTCTGTAACAATTTCTTATTATAATATTTTTAAAGCAAACTACTGAATGCTACTTTCTCACCCAGCTTTGCACAGGGAGTTTCTGAATCGTGTAATGTGTGCTGCGATTGTACTCTTGTCTCTCCCGTGTAGTAGACTGGTTTCTGCTCCTAGAAAATGGGGACCCACTGCTGCCCCCCACCTAGGGTAGCTCTGACGACAGTGTTGTTGTCATTCCCACCTGCTGTGCCCCACTCTCCAAGCCTTTCCTGCTCTGGACTTGCACGCTGTTGTTTGGAAATAAAGGCAGCGGAGTAGACAACACCTAAAGAAGCTTCCCACTCTACAAAGCCCCCGATGCTGCGGCTGTGAGCTGGCACTGGCCGAATGGCACAGAGGCCTGGGGTAGGTCGGGCGGTGTGGTGTTGGCCCAGGACACGTGCTTGGGACTCAGGGAAAGCATGCGTGTCTCTTCCCACGACAGAGTAAGGAGGGACAATCCGGCTCCGGAGCCGACCCTCAGTGACCCCAAACATCACTGATGAAACTCTGGGAGGTGGCCTGGCTCCTGGGGAATGGCCCCTCTGCTGAAGGGACATGAAGCGGACATGGCTTCCTGCTCCTTCCTCCAAGGCTCAAGGGATGCACACACAAGATTCAGAAACAGAGAAGCCGCCTTACCTGAAATAGCAAAGCCGCTGAATCCTACAGCCAGCACCAGAAAGGAGATCGCCACCCCTTTGCTATGGGAAAAGCCAACCACCAGGAGCAAAGTTGCCTCCATGCCAAAACCTGTGAAGGGAAACAGCGGGCAGGCAGGGGGGTCAGTTTTGTGTCACTTGGCTTGAGGCTATGAATTCATTAAACCAGAGCTGATCCAAACTTCCACAGGCTTAAGTTTTTAGGACGTACATTCTGACACAGTGCTTACGGTACCAGACGTTTCGTAATTCCGCGGCACTGCGAGTGTTACCTGGGTATTCTGTGAACCCTCTACCCTTATCCTGCTGCACTTTTTACACCACATGGTCCCAGAGGTCCCAGCGGTGGGATGAGGGGTGGTATTAGCCTACCCAGGGGTAATGCCCATGCCATACCTAAACCCTAAAACTCTCCTTTGTACCATTGATTATTCCCCTGACCTCAAAACTTACAGCTTCTCACATATAAGTAACATGACAACACTAATATTTATATCCAAAAGCAACTGGATAGCTTTAATGAGTATTTAAAATTAAAAAGCAGCACCATATTGCTTGTACAAATGAAATTCTTTTCTTTCGAGTTCACCAAGCTCTTGGGCCTCTTTTAAAAACGAGTCATTTGCACAAAAAAGTACAAATGGGCAAGAGTACTTTCTGTTCCTTTTTGTTCAGAATAAGTGAATCCAGCACATTAAAAAAGAAGATGAGAAAATTACAAAGAATTTCTCATCCAAAAGGAAAAACAGGCCAACAGCAGAGAAGAAGGTGGTCTAAATACTCCGTGTGGACTAGGAGGTGCCCTGACCTGGGGTAGACTGTCGGCTCCCAGGGCTTCATCCTGGAGACTGCCGGTTCCGGGCGCCTCCACCGGTCACCCGACAGACACCTCAAAGCCAACAGGCTCAAATCAAGTCCAAGTTCCCCTAGGTTTTACTCCTAAATAAGTAAACAAGCAAACCACTCTGTTCTTTTGCTTTTCTGGATTCCTCTTCTACCTGTGTGTGCAATACCCAGGCTGTAGATCAAAGAAGCCTGTCTTCAGATCCTGCCTCAGAATCACTAGTTGTGTGACCTTGGACAACGTACTTCCACTCTTCAATTCCCCATCAAAGGGAGGAGGAAGAGGAGGAGGGGAGGGGGAAGGAGGAGGGGAGGAGGAACAGGAACAGGAACAGAATACAACCTTGCAGGACACCGGCAGATTAAATGGAGTCGGGTACATGAGGTATTGAGCGTGGCTCAGGCACAGCCCAACACGTGGTGGCTAGGAGTCCAGTGCAGAAACGTCACGGCTGTTCTAGACTTCTTCTCTCTCACCATTTACATAAAAACCTCTGGGTCCAGCCTCAAAATATCCACTTAACCCAACTTCCATTTTCCCAGCCCTGCTCCCGCCTCACCCCAGGGCCCCAGTGCTGTTCACCTGAACAACTGCATAGCTTCTTGGTGGTCTCTCTCCTCCTCCCCTTCTCCCTTCTCCTCAGATCTGTTCATCTCACCCCTCTTTCTGAACCGCACCCCTTCTTGACCCCTTATTTACTCAGAACATTTCTGGGCACTCAGGCTCACGGGCACAGTGTTACATAACTGCTGCTCCTGCCTCTGTGCCACCGCCTCGTCCCAAACACAGCCCTCTGTGTTGTGTCACAGCTCCCCAAATCTTTCCCAGCCACGTGACCCGTCTCATACCTGTGCCCGTTTCCACAGGCCTGGGATACTCTTCTCCTAGGGTCTTGCCTTTTTCTGGAGCAATCTTACTGTCCTAAAGTCAGGCTCAACTGCTGCTTCCACTAGAAAGCTTCTGGACAATTATGCCACACCTTCAACTAAGGAAGTGGACATCTTCTTATTTTATAGAACCTTTCAACATTCCTTTGTAATTTTTCATTTGTGCTTTTGCCTCTCCCGCAATGTACTTTGGACACAGAATCTGTCTAACATGTAGTGGGCATGCAATAAATAACATATGGCAGGTATAGTGGCACATGCCTATAAAACCAGCTACTCTACTCAGAAGGCAGAGACGGGAGGATCTCCAGTTCATCAAGGCCAGCCTGGCCAACATGATGAAATCCCTCCTCAACTCAATAAACAAGACAATGAACTAAAGCCAAAGACAGAAAATAGAATCAAAATATTTAGTTTGAACCTGAATATGGTGGCCCACAGCTGCAATCCTAGCTAAGGAGGAGGCTGAGGCAGGAGGATATCAAGTACAAGGCCAGCCTCAGCAACTTAGTGAGAACTTGTCTCAAAATAAAACAAATGGCTAGAAGGGCCAGGGATTTAGCTCAACAGTTTGGTGGCCTGCCTCGCAAGTGCAAGGACCCGAGTTCAATCCCCGGTACCAAAAAAAAAAAAAAAAAAAAAAAAAATGCTAGGGAGGTACTTCAGGAGTAGAATGACCGCCTACTATGTACACAGCCCTCTGATCAATCTCCAGTTTTTAAAAATAATAGGTTGAAGTACAAGGTACCACACTTATTGTATATCCTGGTTAAATTCCTGAATTTTCTGAACCTTTTCTTCAAAACAATCATGGAGAATAGCAAGCATGAATAACCATTTTACATGAACATCTAACATGGAACAAAAGAAAGTATAGAAGTGATACAGTGCTTTTTAAAGTGTTGTCTTGGGCTGGGAATGCAGCTCTGTGTTAGAGTAACTGCCAGCATGCACAGGGACCTGAGCTGAATCCCTAACACTACAAAAGAGTGGGTTTTACATCTTTGGTATTTATTCTTAATGTTGTTTCAAACAATTTAAATTATACATAAGCAAAAACTGCAAATGGCCTATCTTAAATAACAAGGCTTCACCTCTTAAGACTTTTTCTACAAAAGTTTTCCAGTTTTTCCAGAAGGTTAATTCCTCCAAGGGATTAGAATGAAGACACTGTGTGAAAAATAAAGCTTATAAATGATATTTATTGGTTCGTCTCTAAGAAAAAAATCGGTATGTTCTTAACCAAATAGTAGATTTCCAGAGCTCGCTTCGGCAGCACAAATACTTAACCAAATAGTAGATTTCCAAAGGAAGAAAAAGGACAGAAGAGCTGCAGTGGTTCCTAGTGAAGGTTAAAATGCTACAGAGTGGGTGGTAGATTCCAGGAGCTCAAGGCTACAATTTGAACTTCACAGATAACCAAGAGATCCTGAAACACGAACCCATCCAGAGTTGACATGAGTAGCCACCCTAGGACTTAAAAGACCCAAGAACACTGTCATTTCATATTAAAATAGTGTGACGCTCACGGAGACGACTGACGCAGAGTAGAACTTGGTCCTTCTGCCACACCTTTCACAGGCTGTGGGGGAGGCGAGAGCTGGACGCCTGTGTCTGAGTCTCCCCCGAAATGTGCACGGCTGAGAATGGACTAGAACAAGACATCGTATCTTAAGGTGATTTTTTTTAAATTTCACAATGGCACATATTCCTTGTCTGCGGCAAGAAAAGAGGGGTGAGACAGCTCCAAAGTATGTGTGATCCTTTGCAGATGAGAAATGTCCTCTACAACTCTTTTTGGGAAATGTAAGAACCCCTGAAATTCGATAAAAATAACGGCAAGTGCCTCATCATATCAAAATAAATCTAGATTATCCAGAGATGCCAAAAAAAGAAAAAGAAAACAAAGCCCTGGTTTCAGGTAGTTACCTCTGGTCTAGTATCTGTACTGAAGCAAAGTGGGACTTTTGTGGTCTTTCTTTCTCTTTCTTTGTCACTTACAATTTTTTGTGTAGAATGCTTTGGCCCTACTATGTCAAAATGTAAAACAGAGTAGAAAAAAATAACACAAGTGTATATAGGTAAAAGGTAGGAAAGGTGTTCGGAGATTTCACGTATGCATTGCAGTTTCTGCAGAAAAAAATCTTTTCTCTCAACAGGCATTTTTGTCAGCATTTAAAAATCTTTGAGTGTTCTCATCACCAACCAACACCATCTCCCAGTACGGAAAAACAATGGCAAAAGTGTTGGGGCAGAATTGAATGGGAACAAGACATTTCTACAGTACGTGTTCAAGGGTCTTCAAGGCATCTGGGTTCAGGTGAGGTTGTGAGAACTGTGTTAAATCCAGGATTTTCTTTCAAGTCCCGGGTTTCATAGATCATTTTGGTCAACAGAAACACAACTGAATAACAGATATTCGTTGACTTCCTCCTTCGGAAAAGTTCTGTTTTTCTCAGTGTCTCGAACACAGAAGAGCAGAAGGGCACTAGCCGTTGATGAGACCCTACTCTAGGCTGGATACCACACCACGTGCACTTACACAGCGCATCATTTCACTCTGACTCTGTCCTCTGAGGTGAATGTCATTATTTGGATTTTAAAGCAGAAAGTTGACTCGGGATTTAGGAACCCCCCATCTCCCTCCACCTCCATTGCTACTGCCTGCCTTCGATTCAGCTACCATCTTCTCTTAACTCCCTTGAAACAGCCTTCTGCCTAGTCTCCCTTCTTTTATTTTTGTGTGCCACATATATTCCAGATTTGAGAACATAAATCAGATCGCCTTTTTCAGCTTTAAAACATTCACTTTCCAGTGGTCCGCAAGTAAAACTCAAGCCCTGCTGATGTCTTCATCTCGGTCACTTTCCTCTTCGCTGGGATACAACACCCACTACCCACAGCCCAAGGGAAGAGAGCTTCACTTTGGCTCACGGTCACAGTTCATGGTCAGGGCTCCAAGGGGCATAACGGGGCAGAAGACACGGAAGAGGAGAGCTGCTCCCACCATGGCAGCCAGGAAGCAGAGAAAGAAGGGAGGGCGAGAGGGAGACGCACCCTCCCAGGCCACGCCCCCAGGACTGCCTCTGCCGATCAAGATTTTCTTTCCAGTTCCAGATTTAGTAGATCATTTTGGTCAAGAGAAACACAATTGAATAGCAGGTACAATTACAGAACTCCTAACATTACACTTAACAGTAGTGTTCCCGATATTTAATCACCCTTCAAAACCCTCACCTTTGAGTGCACGAAACTTTGGGGAGAAATCCAGATATGAATCGTTATCGGTCCATGGTTTGACCCCAAGCTGAGCATTCTGATCCCACCTCCTATGACTGCCCACCCCTCCCAACCATTCTGCCCTTTCCTTCCTTTTATTCTCAAATGCACACTCTTCATCCCTGCCACAGGGCCACTGCACTTGCTTTTCTCTCTGCCTAAAACACTTAGCTGCAAGAATTATGGCAGCACATGATGAACTGCCAACTTGGTTGTACGGTCAGAGGAATCAGTCATAACACTAAACATAAGAGGAGAAGACTCAAGCTGAATGTGGAAGGATATGACAAGAAGACAGTGGGAAGTAAAGATGAGCAGAACTCACAGTAAAGAGAAAAGAGTGAGCGAAACATCAGAGAGAAACATGTTCAGGGCCTGGGGTGGAGGCCAAATTTGAATATAGAGGGGTAAGACTGGGGATGTTTTATTAGTTTCCAATTGCTGCTACAGGAAATGACCATGGACTTAGTGGCTCACAATTACACAAAGTTATTGTCTTGGAGACCCAAAAGTCAGATGTCATACACAGGTCCCACGGAGCTAAAGCAAGTCGCCAGCAACAGTGCTCACTCTGGAAATCCATCGGAGAATCCGTGTGTGCCTTCTCCAGCTCCTCAAGTCCGCTTGCATTTCTTGGCAGTGGCTGCATCCCTCTGACCCCTGGTCTCCTTCTCTGACACCCTCCTGCCTCCTCTTATAAGAATCCTTGTGATTCCATTGTGTCAACCAGACAATGTGGAATAAGCTCCTATTATGGTTTATATCTAGATGCCCCTCAAAGCCTCAGGTGCTCAAAAGTGGGGCTTTGCAGAGGTGACTGGATCACGAGGCTCAAAGTAGACTCCCAGTTAGGAGGTGGGTGTGGCCAGGAGAGGTGGATCACTAGAGGTGCGGCCTGAAGTCTCTCTCTTTCCTGCTTCTCCCATGATCCCTCTCTCTGCTTCTCACTGTCCCGCCATGGACTGTTTCTCCTCTGCGATGCACCTCTGCCGTGCCACCCTGCCTTGGAGCCAGCCGACTAACCTCTACAGACTGTGAGCCAAAATAAACCTTTCCTCCTTTAAGATGTGGGTGTCAGGTATTGTGTCCCAGAAATGAGAAAGTAACTAAGACAGCTCCCTATCTCAAGATCCTTGATTTAATAACCTGCAAAGTCCCCTTGGACCTGAGAGCAAACACTAGAACATGGACATTATCACCCCTACGATACCCACCCTGGTCAGCGGCCTGGATCAGGGCCCTGGAGCTTCTTCATCTCTGCTCCCAGAGAGCAGGGCTGCAATGCCAACGTTTCATCTCCTGCACAAACCCTCCAGCCGAAGTCAGGTCCCGGTACAGCTGGGGTGCCCAGGTTTATTGGTCAGATCGTGCCTGCTCCTGTGTCCATTATGCAGCCTTCCCTTCAAAATGGGCCAGACCCATCTAATCTAGAGTCGGTCGGAGCGTGCCATTCAAGCTGACCCAGTCCACTTCAGAGACAGCAAAAAGGGTGACTAAGAGTGCTGGCAAAGAGCTCAAAGACCCTGACCAGGACCTGCCACGCAAGCAAGTCACTTTCTTTTACCACTGTTTCACTGACTGGACATCAACTCTAAAATATGTCTGCCGTCCTACAGATGCCATGCAGACCCACAGTGAAGACCACAGTACCTCCACAGTTCATGATCTTTCTGACAGCTGTTGTGGTCAAAATCTTTCTGCTTCTTAAGTAATCTGCCAGTTGTCCTCCGATAGGCACAACAATTGTCATCACCATGTGCGGGACTGCCGACAAGAGACCCACCTGGAAGGAAAAGCCGCGCTCAGCACCTTTTCTTTTGCTGAGACGCCTCTCCCTGCTCCCTGCTCACTCCCACCCCACAGCCCATGGCTACCACCGAACCGAGTCACCGCTCATGGGGTCCAGGGAATTCAGTGATAAAGGAACAATGAATGAGCAGAGGGGAGAGTGTAGGCCTGTCTCCTCCATAGACTGGAAGCTCCCCGAGGGCAAAGATGGTTTTTACGAACCTCAGAGGCCCAGACAGCCAGCACAAGGCCCGGCCCAGGGAAGGGAGAATCCTGGCACACAGTGCCGATGGCAGCCGGCTCTCCCGCGGCCTCTTCTGACAGGAGCTGTAACTATGCACACATCTACCTCTGCTGCACTGCTGCTCTGTGCTTCGGGGAAGAGTTTTTCTTCTTTTCTCGTGATAGTTTGTTTCCCCATTGAAAACCTCCCTCCATGAAACACAGGCAATCTAATGACAGTGGCAGGAGACATTGAATGTAGCTCTTTCTAAACCAACACAAGCAGTGGTGGTTACTGCTACAACCAGTTACAGAGATGGGGTGGCTGGAAAAATGAGCTTTCAGTATCTATGTGATACTAAGAAGTTTATAGGGAAAAATGAAACCCTCGCTGTTAAATCTTTTTATCTTTGTCTTATACGTAGCCCTTGAGTTAGTTTCAACCCCACTTTGAGATTGGGTAGAAACTAAATCTTGAAAAGCGGCTTAATATAGCTCTGATCCTTATTAAGAAGAGATCAAATATCTAGCACTCTGCACACAGAATGTGTAACTTATCTGACCTGCAGGGTACTGAGTATCACAGAACTGTTATGAATTATGATTGTACAGAGATATTCCTGGTAACGAGAGAGTTGAAGTTCAAGAATATCTGAAGTTCCTGAGTGTTTACCTTACTTATTGCAAATCCAAACACCTCTTCAAAATAAGCAGGCTGACTTATTAAGAGCAAATAAAAGGTCCAGCTTCTGCAAAAATTTGCCACAATGATTGCATAAACCGGCAGCGATGTGAAAAATCTTTTCCACGGTGTATTAAATTTCTAGGGAGTAAAAATACGGCTCTATTTTAGCAGAGGTAATGACATCTTACTTTTCAATCACGAAGAGCAGTACTCATAGCAAAGACTCCAGCCCTTACCAGTGCATTTACACTTACACTTGGACTAGCCAGGGTGGCTCCTTCTCCTATACTGGTCTCAATGTAAGTCTTCTCTTCGCTAGATATCGTTGGGTGAGCTGCCGGGCACTCATAGGCCTGCAACAGCCAAAACATGTACCAAATAATCCCAAACATACCTGTAAGTAAAAAAACAAAACACTTCGATGATATAGTCTTATTTTCTTCCATCTCTAAATCTTTCAACTTTTTTTTTTTTTTTTTTTTTTTTTGTCCCGGGAATCAAACTCAGAACCTTGTGCTTACAGGGCAGGTGGCAGCACCACTGTGCTAAATCCCGGCCTAAATCTTTCAACTTTTACAATATTCCCAAGTAACAATATATGCAGCCAGGAGAAACCACTCTGTTGATTTTTCTGCTGCAGTCAACTGACATTTAAAGAAAGATAATGTTTCGCTTGTTTGAAAAAAAATCAACTTTAATATAAAGATGAAATTGCAAGCAGACAGATATTCCACTCGATGATAAATTTGCTTTAGTAATTTCTACTATCACGAAGTAATAAACTCTTGGCCAATTCCTTCTACAGTAAAATACCATTTCTGTAAGTCATCCTGTGAACCAAGGAAGTCAAATCACTCACCGTAAATGTAAAAGACCGAAGCCCATCCAATGTACTGCACCAGTACCCCCGCCAGGGGCATGGCAACCACGGCCCCCGCGTAGGACCCTGAAACAAGAAGAGACAAGGCAAGCTGACCAATGACCACGAAAGCCTTGTCCCCCCGCGGAGAAGTCACGTGGTAAGGCTGAAGCCAAAGCAAACAACTGGAGTCAAACTGCCTCCATGGGGACATCAGGCCAGACTCCCAGCGTGCCTTAAAACGGGGTTTCTCGGGGAGAAGGTCACTAGAACACCCTTTAACTTCTTCACCCGGGACAATCCAGGGATCAGATGAGATTGTTCCGGCACCGCAAGCCGGAATCAGGCAAGAGAAAGAATCAGAAGAAGAGAAAAACCCAAAAGAAATTCTACTAGGCACAATATTGGCTGCTGGAAATAGCCCCCCGAAGGAACACGGAGCCTGCCTTTCAGAGCTGGCAGTGTGGCGGAGCCTCACCAGGTGTTTAATGAGAGGTGCTGAACTATTGAGAGGATCATACTTTTACTAGTATTTATTTTTTTAAAAATCAGGAAAGAGATGAATTCCAAGATTGCAGGAGGGCTATGATCTCCACCCACTTCCTACATCAGTGTATTTTTAAGTTTATTTCTGTTTAATAAAAATTACAAGAGGCCATTGTTTTTGGACGAGGTCCTTGGGTGGAGCCCCAAAAGAACAGACTGAAAAATCAAAACGGGGTCACTCAAGCTAAAGTTCTTCGTCAGCAAACAAAACCTAAGCTGCTTATCTGACTTTTCAAGAAACCAGGAGATGCAAAACAAAGGAAATCACTAACAGTAAAGAGGCAGCTTACAGAATGGGGAAAAAAACTGCCAGCTACTCCTCAGAAAAAGAACTAATATCCAGAATACATAAAGAATTCAAAAAAATTCAACCTCCTAAGGTTGAATTAAGGACCCAATCAAAAAATGGGCATCAGAAATGAATAGACATTTCTCAGATGAAGAAATACAAATGACAAATAAATATAGGAAAAAATGTTCAACATTGCCGGCCATTCAAGAAATGCAAATTAAAATAATACTGAGATTCCATCTCACTCCAGAAAGAATGGCTGTGATCAAAGAAATCAACTAATAATAATGCTGGGGAGGCTATGGAGAGAAAGGAACCCTACCTCTTTGTTGCTGGGACTGATTCCTCAAATCAGTCTGGAGATTCCTCAAAAAACTGAAAGTAGAAATTCCATTTTACCCAGCATATAATACCACAGTGATGTATGCATACCGTGTTTATAACAGGGCAATTCATAATAGCTAAATCTTGAAAACAGCTATGTGTCCATCAAGTGATGGGTGGGATTTTAAAGGTGGTGTTTATACACGATGGAGTACTATTCTGCCATGAAGAAGGATAAACGAGTCATTTGTAGGAAAATGGATGCACCTTGGGACCATAATCTTAAGTGAAGTGACTCAGACATACGCGCTTAAATATCACACGGTTTTCTCTTATATGAGAAACTCAATACATATAAAGTACAAAATAAAAGATAGATAATAGGAAGAAAGAGAAAGGAAAAAAAAGTATCATAATCCAGCATAGGCTATGCATCTAAAAGTGTACCTTGATTTAGTGTTGATTATTTTACATGTTTTATATGTTCTTTGGCCTACTACTCTAGTTTTCAATCTGTATAAATGATAATTTAACTTATAAGGTCTTACAAGATAAATAAATGAATCTGACACTGGAAAAATTTAAATGAAGAGGGAGAAAGGAATTGAAATGTGTTCTGTACATATACCAATCCCCTACAGTGAGGGTCGGCACTATGCACTGCTAACGTGAACTAATAAAAGTTGAAAAGGAAAAGAAAAAGAAAAAAGAAAGAGACCCAGACAGCTGCATGTGGTGGCACATACCCGTAATCCCAGCACCTCAGGAGGCTGAGGCAGGAGGATCAAGATTGAGCCCAGCTTGGGCAACTTATTGATTTAGAGAGACCCTGTCTCAAAATAAAAAATTTTTTAAAAGCACTGGGGATGCATCTCAGCATGAAGGCCCTGTCTTCTGTCCCCAGGACTGCAAACAAAACAAATGAAGACCAAAATGAGAGATTACAGCTAAATTTCCCAAACAGACAGGTTTCAATTGGCACAAGTTCCCTCTGACTTAATCCTTACTCAAAAAAAAAAAAAAATTACCTGGCGTCAGCCAGTTATTTTTCTATTGTTCTATGTGCTTGTCCCTGCTGATATACAAGGAAAGCAGCTCTGAAATAACCAATCTGCTTTTGGTTCTTTGTTTCTGCTTTATTTAGCCTTTCTCTGTCCATAAAACCCAACCTTATCTGCTCAAACCATTTGAAACAATGATTCTTTTGCACGAAAGAAACCCTTACTGATTCCAGAATCTAAAATAAAACCAATTAAGATCTTTAAACTAAAATGGTTGTAATTTTGCCCTTTGATTTTTCTTACTTTGTAAATACTTACCCTTGTAAATGCTTGCCTGTGTGTGTGTGTTTATCTTGTCTAGACAAGATTAGGAGCACCAGAGGCAGTGGCCTGGCCTCCTTATCGTGGGCAGCTCCAGGACATCTACTAGGGAAACCCCAGCCCTGTGAACTGAATATTAACTAAACTGCAAAGTTGCTATCTGAAATTTCCTCTGGACCATGAGTGAGAAAACTCTTGTTTCAGAAAACAGTAGCATGAAAGGAAATTCCATATCCCAAAATACAATGCCAAGGAAGATTTGGGGGAATTAGAATATCTTCCAGAGAACTAGGTTAACCTAACTTGCATCTTTCTAAACAGGGCCTGACCCTGTCGGAAAGAGACTCGCATAAAGATAAGACTGGAGTGAAACAGCTCCTGAGGTTGGTTTTAAGGTGAACTAAGCTGTGTATGTGAAGAAGCTTCGTAAGCTACAAAGGGTTACACAACTGCCAACTGTTACTGCTTTTATATGTACGGAATGACAATGTCCTTCTTTTTCAACCTCATAATTCCTCAAGCCAATAAAGCAAGGGCTCCAGGCCATAGGGTGGGAAAGAGCTGCAGGTCTGACTCCGTGGGGAGAAGGTGGTCTTCATCGGAAGCCAAATACCCTGAGAGGGAAAGAAGAGAGCCTGGCTTAGGTGACAAGAAGGTGCATCTGTAACAGGGAGGGTCACAAATAACCAACAACTGCCGCGATGCACTGAGCATTTTCCATGTTCCATTCCTGGGCTAGCTGTCCTGTATCTGAGTTTTTATTCAACCTGGTGACTTGATGCCAATATTATTCCCATTTTACAGGCAAAAACAAAGGTCAGGAATGGGGAAGTAAATTTGCAGAGGTCACACGGATATAAGGGACAGATTTCCTGGGCAGGAACTCAAGTCTGGGACTCCAAAGCCCTTACTCTGTAATATTTCAGTCTTGTCTCCTTCACCCCAAAACAGCCAGTTATTCTCCACTGTATGTGTTAGATCCTTGCTAAAATTACATCTTAACCTAAGCTGTCCTCCTTTCCTACCTATCAAACACTCTCTCATCCTTTCAGACAGGGATACAATCTCATCGTCCATCACACCCCTTGAGCATATTCCCTAAAAGGATGCTTAGCCTTTAGCACAGCTGTGCAGGGACGCCGGCCTCCCTCTGTCCCTTGTGTGCTTCCCTGGGAGGACAGGCGAGGCCTTCAGTGATCACTAGTGGCATGGGGTGGGAGAGTAACAGAGAGAGGGTAGGAAAGAGCCCCCGGTTTTATCCTCACTGGCCATGAGAACTTAAATCTTGTCTTCCTCTCCAGCCTCAATTTCTCCAACTGTAAAACAACAAGATGTGCCTAGGTATGTTCTACAGTTTCCTTCTCACACTAGTATCTTTTGAGATTAAGAGCTGATTAGCCCCAAGCCTGTGTTTCCTTCTAATAATATTTCACCTCTGATGTTTTTTGAAACAAGGCCTCGCCTTAGCTGGGGAACGCAATACAACTTGTGACTTTGATCTGTTAACTCTCCTGCAGAATCAAATCACTTTAAATCAGCTCTTTTAGGGCTATAAAAATACACAAAGAATGGGGAGTGGCTGGTAGTCATTCTCAGTTTTGCTGTCAAATCAAAATGAAAGGCCTTACACACAAACCATCCAAAGAAATGAAGGCCAAGGATCGGGTAAAGCTCAGTAACAGGGCAGAAACACTTAGAGGCCAGAGAAGGTTTCCAAGGTCAAGAGAGGCTAAAGATGTAAACATATCTCAGATACATATGTAATTCCAAACCAGGATTCTGATGAGTATAGCACACCAAATTACTGCGAGGATTTATTATTGTCAATATTTAAAGTAGAGAAAGAGGTAAATAAAAATATTCATAGAAATAAAGACTTATTTCTCCCCCTAGTGAAGATATACAAGTTAGCTTGTCTTAAGAAATGCATGTTAGCTTGAAAAACCAGACAGACATCTAAAGATGGAGGGAGGGAGGAGGGAGACAAGGGGAGGAGGAATAAAAAGAATTAAGATATTTTAAGTCCATATACCAATTCCCTAAGATGAATGGAAACATTACATACTGCAAACAAGGAATTATGAAAAATAAATAAGCATAAAAAAGAAAGAAAAATCAGAAAGACCACTGAAGAACCAGAACAAGACGGCAGCTAAGTAAGATCTTCTGGTGATGTCTCCACAGACAGACCAATTTGAACAGATTTTCATGTTCCAAACCACCTTCCACAGCAGCTAAGAAAGCCAGCTAAACTATGCTAGGAAATATTAAGGAGGGTTAAAAAGGAAGGAAGAGTTAATCTTCAAGAATAAATTAATTAATAAAACAAAAAAATAATGAAACTTATTAGGCATCAAGTTGAGAGTAAACTGGCCGACGTGGGCAAATTTCTCAGTGAAAGTTTCTCAGAGAAAAGAGAACACTGGAAGATTTCACAAGAACAGCTCTGCAAAGAAATGGGCTCCAGGGTGAAGAATCTGAATTTCAACGAAGCAGAATAATCTGCTTTACAGCATTAACTCACATTCAATGGCTGAATTGTGCTGGTCACTGCCAACCAGTCCCTTTAGAAGAGATATGTTTTATGTCACCTTGGCATAAAAACTAGGAGCTGAGTTAACCGTGAAGAGTTATTCTTAACTTACCACAAAAAGAAGTGGTGGCCAGTCGGCTTCTCTCCAAGGGTGGAGCCCACTTGCTCCACATCCCATGGCAGGCTGGGTAAGTCACACCCTGGCAGAAGAATGTAAATCAATTACTAAATTTTAATCCAGCCAGGGATTTAGTTTAGTGGTTCCATCACCTGCCTCACAAGTGCAGGGTCCTGAGTTCAACCCCCCAGTGCCAAAAAACAAACACACAGATTTTATTCCAGTTTCTTTTTGTGTTTAAAACACAGACGCTTCTCCTTCTCCTTCACCCAGGCTACAATATAAAAGCCAGTGTACATACACTGATGTGGCTCAGAAGTCCGTGTTGAAACCCAGCCCCCAGTGTGACAGTACTGAAGATGGCCCTGGGGAGGGGACCAGTGAGTGAGAGGAAAGTCCTCAGGAAGAGGATTAGGGCCTTTGACAAGAAGCCCCAGAGAGCATCTTCCCTTCCTGCCAGGTGAGGACACAGCAGACGAATGTCTAGGAACCAAGTCACTGTGCTTCATTACACCCTGAATCTGCCAACATCTGGATCTTGGATCTCCCAGCCTCCAGAACAGTGAAAAATACATTTCTGTTACTGATGGTATTCTTTTAAGGAAGCCCAAACGGACACAAAATAGCACAATTCAGCCATGCTGATGTGTAGCACAGATACTAAAATTTATATACAGTTCAAATGCAAGTGTGGTGGGGAATCAGAAGGAGCTCTTTATATTTCTATTGGATGCTATTAAAGAGTATCAGTGTAGGAAGCAACTTCCGGGTGATTCCACTTCATCTCATTTGCAGACAAAGAATCTGAGGCTCAGTCATTAAGTGCCAGATCTCCATGGTCACCTCCACAGCTGCCACTGTCACTCTGCAGCCTACCAGTATTTCTGAGAGTGGAGCATATGTCCCTCCGGTGGGGCTAACGTTGGCTTTGAGATGTAACAAAAACCCACATCCTTAATTATAATTCTTACGTGTATGTTCTAATATGCTTTAGACAAAAATGTAATGTGCACATCCAATCCATGATTTCAAAGGTACCATTGCTTATGATGAGAGTGGTTTTGATTTTTGTTTGTTAATGGAGTTGATCTGGGGGAAACACAGTGAGCAAAGAGTAAGACAAGTTGTATGTGGGATAACACAACGCTGAAGGTTAGAGCTGAGTGTCAGAGCTTGGGGAATGTTGTTCTACACTAGGAGTTGGCAAGCAATGAGCCAGTTAGATGCACCGTCAGTTTCTGCACAGTCTGCGAGGTTTTTACGCTTTAAAGTGGTCTGAAGAAACACCAGTATAAGATACTATTTCATGGGCACATAAAAATCACATGAATTTCAAATCTCAACATATAAAAGCTTTTACTGCAACTGTGTGGCTGCCACATCCAGAACATTTACCTTCGGGTTCTACATTGAGGTCAGACCACATGCTTACAAATGTACACACTCGTAATGAATGCATTTAAATGGCCTTCGCTAAAGGAAAGAGCCCTTGCTATGGGAACTCATAAGTTTGGAGCTTCAGTTTCATGCTCTATTAAAATCATAGTCACACAAGACATTTTAATTAAAGGAGTCACGAGGCTATTTAATTAAAATAGCCATCACTGAAATAGCAGCACAAGGTGGCAGATAGGAAAACCGAGTAAAAGGATTTTCTAAAGGACCGTGCCATCTCTGGCAATGTGGAAACCTGTAAGGAAAAGGGACCTCCTACCTCCACCAGACCTTGCAAAATTCTGACGCCCATGACACAGCCATAATGCACTCTGGCTGCAGAAGGAATGAACATGTTCAAAGTCGATGTGAGGAAGATGGCAGCTCCAAAGACCCTAGGAGACCAAAGCACTGTGTTAGTGGGCAGGTCGATGATACGTGAGGTGGTCATTTAAACATCCGAAGTGAGCCTAATGGATCATGAAAGATCTTTATGAAAATTAAGAGAAATTAGTTCAGTGGAAAAGACTGAGTCCTGGAGTCTCACGTGGCCCACGCTAGACTCCTAGGCTGCTTGGATTCCCAAGCTCTAGTCCCTGGGCCAATGACAGGCACGGCTAGGGCAGTGCGGCAGTGTGCACACAAGGGCAACGTCCTAGGGGTTTGCAGAATGACTAGGCTGAACTTCCTGGAGACCCCGTCCTACCCAAGTGAGCTCTCCTACTATGACTTTGGCATCTTTCGAGTTTTGCTTCCTGCTTCCCACACTGCTCTCAGTCTGCCTGAGGGGAAACTGATTATCTAAGAAGCATCGTATGACCGGGGCCCAGCCAAGCACAAGTGAAACTGTGTCCTCATCTGAGCGTGCAACTCCCTGCCCTGCTTGGCCCAACCAGCGACATCCCTACCACTCTCCTGCACGGTGATGGCATGTCAACCCTTTGGACACGTGGGGAAATCAGAGTATGTGTGATTTATTTTTTAAAGCAGAGGTGTAAGAAGTGCCCAGGGCAGCCAACATTTGATGATATGTTAAAAGAATAATACAAGTAAATAACAACAAATAAAAACAGAAATTTGGGCCAGGGGTCTAGCTCAGTGGTTCCACCACCTGCCTCCAAGTTCCAAGGATCCAAGTTCCACCCCTGGTACCAAAAAAAAAAAAAAAAAAAAAAAAAAAATAACATAAATAAAGAACAGGCATGTTCATACATATTTAGATCTTACCAGAGTGGCTTTCGAGTTTTTACACTGACCCTTAAAGTGCGCTGTATATTGTGGCCTGGTCTCTACACATACACACAAATCAAGTTGCAAAGTCTATAGCTGCCCTTACATGCAGTGCACTCAGATGTTGTCTCTTCTGTTTTATTCTATTTTATTTCCATCTCTTCCATTTTTCCCCTTTTTCAAAGACAGCTCATTGGTTAATCACTGCATTAATTTCACAGCCATCTAATAATATGTATTTCAGAGTCTGAAAAATACTGCTTTACAAAGTGCAAAATACTTCATGAAATAGATTTGTGTCAAGTCATGTGAGAAATAAATACACTGGAGAGGACCCGAGATTATTTTGTACACACCTTTGCTGGCACATGACACATTCTACCACATCTCCCCCAAGTGGCCGTCCTCTTGTGCTTGAATACCTCTAGCAACAGAGAACTCACTGCTAGTGCAAACAGCCCACTCTGTTCCTGGACACTTAAGTGCTTAAAGTGAAGAGTGTTAAAGACACAGCGAGCGGTCTGGAGACGGGCCTGTCCTACACGTGGGGCGGCGCGTTCGTGGCTGAAGGTGACATTAACAAAAGTACAGAAGATCACAGAATGTCACTGGTCAGAGGGAGCTGAAGCACAATTTAGTCCAATGTTCATTCCATAGGTGAGGAAACTGGGGCCCAGGGAAAGAGGGCACGTGACTCTCCAGAGGCAACTCAGTGCGTCAGTGAGGGGTCAGGAACTCTTTCTCCTGACTCAATTCACTGCTCTTTTTTAAACCACAGAATCACTACATGAGTCATAAGATAAATCATACTGGGGAAAAAAGTAAATCAAAAGAGACACCGAAGAACAGGATTATTTGGAATCAAGGTGTCTGAATCGCTCCTGTTTTTCATTCTTCACCTCCGAAGTGAGAACCAACGGTGCAGATTTTATAAAGGTACCAAGTCACATTATCATTTGAGCAGCACTCCTAACATACTGATTTACCTTACCTGTTAGCAGCAAACTTGTTTGAAATGAAACCACCTGGGATTTGCGTCACAATATAACCCCAGAAAAATGATCCATGGATCAGGCCCACTGTCTCTGGGTCCCAGTTAAACTGTGCTGTCTGCAAACAAGAAATCAGAAACGGTTGTGCTTATAAGAAAACAATTGACCACATTCCACTGATGATCCCACGAATAACCCCATGAGATCCTTTTTTCCTTCCTTTCATCTTCAAGTATTTCTCGAAGGCATCTTGCGTACTAAGGAGATCAAAGTCCCTGCTTAATGAATATCAACTTCTAGGGAGAGAAAGGAGAGATAAGCACAAAGTTATATATAAAATGTGGTGCACCAAACACTGACAAGCCTAAGAAGAATGAAATAATCGGTGAGGAAAACCAATTAAGTCCTAGGACTACTGGGTTATCAACTATATTATTTAGATATCAGTTCATGGTAGCATAAAAGGGATACAAATCTTAAGTGTCTCTGTTCTTCCCTCTGTGATCCTGGGGATCAAACACAGGATCATCTGCCTGCCAGGCCACGGTTCTGCCACTAAGCTACTCCCTGGCCCAAGTCCCTGTTGTCTTAATGATCATGACAAATACAGCCTGCCTGCTTCATCCAGCTGTTAATGGTCACTCACATCACCTCTCGGAGGTGATGGTGCCTGTCATGCTCAGACAGAAATGATACCTGACAAAGGGTGCTTAGGGCTGCTGACCACTGACTTCTGTCATCATCTGAGCCCCTAAAATCCTAATGGTGGGCTAGAGACTTGAATAGACATTTCTCCGAAGAAGCATGCAAACAACCAACAGCTATATGGAAAGCTGTCCCAGGTGCCCTAACCATCAGGTAAATGCAAGTCAAATCCACAATGAGACATGACTTCACAGCTGTTAGGCTCACCATTATCCAATACATAAATAAATAAATACACCAAGTATTGTGAAAACCTGGAGAAAGCAAAATTCTCTCATGGTTTGGATGTAGGATGGTACTGTCCATGTGGAAAACAACAGTATAGCAGATCCTCAAAAACCTAAAAATACAACTCAGTAATCAAACTCTGGGTATTTATCCAAAAGTATTGAAATTGGAATCTTGAAGATCTCCACTCTCACGTTCTCTAATGCATTATTCACTGCAACCAAGATATGGAAAAAGCCTGAATGTCCACTGACAGATGGGTAAAGAAAATGTCTTGTGAACATTTAATGGAATGCTCTTCAGCCTTTGAAGAAAACGGAGATTCTGTAACATGCAACAACTTAGATGAGCCTGGAGAATGTTACGCTCAGGGGATAAGCTAGTCACAGAAACACAAATAATGCATGAGCCCACTTACACGAAGTCTCTAAAACATCACATTCATAGATCCAAAGAGTGGACCGGTGGTTGTCAGAGACCAGAGGGAGAGGAAATGGGATTATTCCGTGGGCTGAAAGTGTTGGTGAAACGCGATGAATAAGCGCTAGAGAAGTGCTGAACGGCATCGTACTCACACATGTTAAAATGCGTTACTGGTGGAGATGGTGGGTTGAGCATTCTTTTCTATTGTGGTTTAGATCTCGAATGGCTCCCAAGTCCCATGAGTTTGGGAGGTGACTGGATCTCAAGACGCTATGCTCACCCGGGACTGATCCACTGAAGAGTTTACAGATAAATGCGTTGCTGGAGGCGGGGTCTGGCCAGGAGAGACGCACCGCTGGGGGCCTCTGAGAAGCCCTTCTCCCCGCCTTCCCTTCTCTCTTTCTCTCCGGCCGCTGTGGGTTAAGCAACTTTCCTTCCTTGCCTTTCCTCCGCTTCGCTTCTGCCCTAATGAAAGTCTCCTCCTTTAAATACCACCGTCAGTTCCTCGGCACCAACAACTGGAAAACTAATACATTTTCTTTTCTGTTTTGGTTTTGTTTTATTGTATTTATTTTGTTTTCAGTGGTGGTACTGGAGACTAAACCCAGAGCCTTCACTGAGCTACAGTTCCCACCCTTACATTTTTTATTTTGAGACGGGGTCTCTGCTAAGTTGCCAAGGTGAGACACAAATTATCATAAAGAAAAAGACCTCCATGCTACAAGGAATGATATCCTCATCACATCCCTGGAAGGATAAATGCGACCTTCGTCAGAGAAGGGTTCTTTGCCCTTCTCTGAAAAAGCCAGTGATCTTGAAACGAGCTGTCCTGGATTAATCACTGGGCTCTCAACCAGGGACAAGTGTCCCGGGACAGGAGAGAGGCAAGGGGAGATCTGAGACAGAAGACAAGACACACAGACAGGAAGAGACCATGCAGACTGGCGGAGATGGATGGACACAGTCACAAACCGCAAGTCTGGGAGCTGACTGAGACGAGGACGTGTTCTCCACTAGAGACTTCAGAGGAAGGGAGACCCGGTCAACACTTTGGTTCCAGACTTCCGGTCTCCACAGCCACGAGAGACTAAAGTTCTCTTGTGTCAATCCATCAAGTTCGTGGTAATTTGCTACTACAGTCTTAGGAACCCGATACAGATACTTAATACAAATCACCTCATTTGATCTGCAAAGAAGTCTTTTTATTTTAAAGTAATGGTTAGCAAAGAACTGCTGAGCAATCCGGCTCCTGTCTCACTGTAGAACTTGCTTCGGAGAGGGTTTCACCTCCACTTCCTGTCTGTGGGATTCTCTCCTGTTGACCACTGAGGCCGAAAGCATGCCTGAAGAGTGTGTCTGTCTGTCTGTCTGTCTTTCTCTCCCCCATCTGTCTGCCTCCCTCCCTCTATACTCACACAGTTAGTTCAGCAGTGGCCCATCAGGAGGTCCTCGAACTTCCATGGCACCAGGATCAAGTAAAACAGCCCCTGGCAGGGCAACGGCTCATAAATTCAGCTCTGGCACACTGGGGCAACTTGCTCAGGGGCCCAGAGCCAAGAAACAGCAGGCACGTTTGGAAGCAAGTCTGGCCACTTCTGAAGCCCACCCTCTTCACCCTACAAGACTACACAGGAGAAGGGCTCTGGATTTTTTTTCCTGAGGGTTATGAGAAAGAATCAGAAGGATTCTCAACCTTTGGTCATTATTGTTTTACCTACCATCGGACAGACACAGTTTAGGTGCTTCTCACTCATTTTGTTTGTTCGTTGTACTGGAGGTTGAACCCAGGACCTTGCATATGGCAGGCAAGCACTCTACCACTGAGCTACATCCCCCAACAACTGAATTGCCCAGGATCGCCTCCAACTTGTGACCCTCCTGCCTTGGTCTCCTGAGTAGCTGGGATTGCAGGCATGCACCACCACACGCAGCCAACTTTCTGTGTTGTAACTCACAATTTTCCTTCCTCCCTCCTTCCCTGCCTTTATCCCTTTGTTCTTTCCTTTCTTTTGTTCTTTGTGCTGGGATTAAACCCAGGTATGCTATCACGGAGCGACACTCCCAGCTTTAACTTATCATTATTAAACTAAAATGTAATCATCTATATATTAGCTAAAATCACCCTTCACAACACATATTATTTGTAAGACCTACCTAATCATACCTACTTCTCTCTTATGAAAATGAGGATTCTAAGCCAGGCACAGTGGTTCCACAACCACAGTTGTGGCAGCATAGTGCCAGGATTCTGGGAGGCTGAGGTAGGACGATCAAAATTTCAAGACCAGGGACGGGGACTGCACCTGCCTTGTAAGCACAAGGTCCTGAGTTTGATCCCTGGTAAAAAATTAAAAAAATGTTTAAGCCCAGCCTGGACAGCTCAGTGACTTAGCAAAAGTCTGTCTCAAGATAAAAATAAAAAGAAGGAGGTAGGGGTATAGCTCAGGGAGAAAGTCTTGGATCCAATCCTAGTATTGCATCCAAAAGAAAAAGAATTCAAAAGTGTCTAGTTTTCCTATAAAACAAAACAAACAAAAACGTTAGCCATTCAAAGCCCTTTGCTCAGCTGATATCTAAACTTTGTTCTCTTTGGGCAAGAGAGAAATAGCCTACCACAAGTTGGAGCTGCACTGAAGCCCCTGAAATACTACTGACCTCCTGTTCTCGAGGCCAGAGAGAAAAAAGCACCCTTCAGATCTTAAGCAGTTTCTCTAAGGCTCCAGAGGGCAGAGATGTAGACTGTAGAGCACACACTAGCACTGTCCCTGGGCTTTATCGAAATGCCATTCCATAGGCCTCAAAGAGACTCTACTGACCTGGACTATTTTCAGGCAACAAACAAATGCAAAAGCAGCATCTTGTTTTGGTCCCAGCCTCTGCGGAAGAGTTTTAATTAGCTGGCCATGCTGACAAAAAGGCTGAAAGAACACCTGTGATACACATCTGCAACCTGGCCAATATACATCATTCCCTACTTTACAAAGGCATAACATGCTTCTCCACCTCTCTCTCAGCACCCTAAAACTGATGCCTATCTGTTTAGGACAGATTCGGCTGTGGCATCAAAAAGGGGCTGGTTAGAACCATCTCCATGGTGCTATTTTCCACGGCAGAATAATCTCTTAGTTTAAAAAAAAAAAAAAGCATTCAGGCCAAATAAAGACCTCTTTTTAATGGACCAACACAAATTTTCCCAAGCCAGTGCTTAGCAGGAGACCATTCCAGGTGATGCTATAGATATGGCACAAAAGACCACATCCTGCTGTCAGGTCAAGCCAGGAAATCCTACACCCACGTCCCTGTACTGGGGAGTCCCACTGGCCACAGAGCAGCCCAAGCACCGAGGCCCAAAAATGTGGCCTGAAAACCAATGATCTCCCAGGTACCAGTAGGAGACTCCAGTCTCCAAATACAGGCGTGGACCTGAGAACTATTAGATGCCTCTCTGCAAAGGCACAGATGTTCACAGGAGTCATTCCAGAGCGTGTGTTCAATTCTGTAAAATATAGTAGGGGTGAGCAACATACGCCACAAATGCTTAAACTGTAAAAATTTGTCACAGTAAAAGCAGCATAGGGACACAGAGCAGCACCAAGCACCGAGGCCCAAAAATGCGGCCTGAAAACCAATGATCTCCCAGGTACCAGTAGGAGACTCCGGTCTCCAAATACAGGCGTGGACCTGAGAACTATTAGATGCCTCTCTGCAAAGGCGCAGATGTTCAAGGGAGTCATTCCAGAGCGTGTGTTCAATTCTGTAAAATATAGGAGGGGTGAGCAACATACGCCACAAATGCTTAAACTGTAAAAATTTGTCACAGTAAAAGCAGCATTCCCTAATCCGCCCTTAATTCCCCTCCTCACTCTGAGCACGCTCGTCCATCGCTCTCGTCACTTTCTGAAGCAGCTCTGGAAGTCCTCTTTCTTGAGTGTCTTTATGAGGTGTGATTAAAAAAAAAAAGTGCCTGCCACCGCCAAGAACCATGCAATGGAAAGGCAGGCTTGTGGACACATTATGCTGTGTCCTCATCCCCTTAGTCACGGGGTATGGCACTGTCTGTTCCCCAACGCCAAAGTGACTGTGGGAGATAAACATTCTGAATCCGTTCAGGACATGAAGGCAGCCATGACAGTGTGGATAAAGACATAAGAGAGGACTCCAGAACTGCTTCAGGAAGTGACCGGGACGATGGCACCAGCGTGTCGGAAGTAAGGGGGAGAACGCTGCGGGGAAGCGACAGCAACATGTCATTTACTGTAATGAGTTTTTAAAATGTAAATATTCACCAGAATCACACCTCATATATTTATCTGCTGGATGTCCACTGAGCACACATTTTCATTTGCTTTTTTTTCATCCCATAACCTCAGGACTTCTTTTGGCCTATGATTTAAGAAATAAGCTACATTGTAAGCTTTTAGGGATTCATAAAACAGTATTACTGAGCCGTAGCAGAGGACACTTGGTGATGCCCGGAACAGCCTCCGCACTGAGCTCTTGTCTGCTCTTTCCTCACTTCAACCTGGCCTCCGTGCACAGAGCAGTGGTCACTCTGGAGCCCAGATCTGCTTCTCCCTGAAGCCGACCCATGACTCCCCACATGGTCACTGGGCCCCTAATTTCCTGGGCTGCCTCCATCTCTCCATCTCTGTTTCCTTACTGGGAATTCTCAACCTAGAGACTGTGGATAGAACCCTGTGGATCTGAACCTTTTGTGGGAAAGTCCACATCTTTACTTTTACTAACTGCTAGCTGAAATTTAGCATTTTCTGCAAACGTGAGTGTAGCTACAGTAGAATTTTCAGTACCTATGACTCTGTCACTATGGTAATCATAAATATGTGCAAATCATATTATAGTTGTTGCCAGTATCATAAGCACCCTACCCCTGAGCTACATCCTCAGACCTACAGCAATTTCTAGATCTATAGCTAGATTTTGTCATTTCATGTGTTAATTTAAAAAGCCAATATCTTGCTGGGCATCGTGGTGCATGTCTGTCCTCCTAGCACTCGGGAGGCTGAGGCAGGAGGATTGCTGCAAGTTTTAAGGCCAGCCTGGGCTACATAGTGAGTTCAAGGCTCACCTGAATTACCTAGCAAGACTCTGTCTTAAAAAAACAAACAAACAAGCAAACAAAAAAGACCATGGGTTGCCATATTACAAATTTGATTTTTAAACACTTTAATATCTGCATTTTAATATTTGGCTTCCCTTATAGTTCTCTATTTTTACACTAAGAATTTAAAGTATTGTTGGCAAAGAATTCATAAATTATCAGCAGGTTGCCTGAGGGGTTCACGGTACGGAAGACTTAAGTGTTTGTGTCACGGTTCCTTAAATGAGTTCTCATCTGTCTCTCCCTTCCACCCCTTCACACATGATGCTCCTTTTCTTCAGACATTCTTGTTCCCACCCTATAAACACCCCTTTGTCTCGGCCAGCCGTCACTTCCTCTGGAAATGCTCTCACAGTCTCAAAGTCGGGGCTAGGCCCTCCCAGGCAGGGGTCCTTACCCCCAGTGCAGCAGCCTGAACCCCAGTTGTCATCACTTGCCATGTCCAGACTGCGTAGCTCGCCTTCTCCCCGGGCATCACACACAGGGCCAGAACGTGGTGGTTGGTTTCCACTCTCACCACACCATGAATAATTGCAGTGGCCTCACGTAGCAGAGCACTGACAACTACAGAAGGGGAGGAAACGGCCCTAGATTGACACTGACCTGAACTTCCGCTTTTCCATCCACATATACTGTGCTGTTGTTGACCATTTCCACAATAGCAACGCCAAGATTGCACCGAATGCCGAAGGAGATGCAGAAGCCCAGCCCACTCATGACAGCAATGATATAACGCTTGGGGACACCACAGCAGTGGCAGTCACAGAGGGGGCGGTGGGGCCTGGGGGCCTGCACTGGCCGCCCTTCTTCACTCAGCTCTATGCTATCTTCTTCCCCAATGGTCCCATCAATTTTTCTACATTGGAAAAAGAGTGAACAGAGAAGAAAAACCAGGATTAGAGAAAAATAAATTTGTACCAAGCAAAATCAAAAAGTATACATGCTAAATAAATAATTTTTAAAAAGAAAACCTAAAGCAGGATTTGGTCTGCATTTTTAAAAATTATCACCATCATTGGGGGTAGAGGTAGAAACGATCCAAGTGTGTTACACGCATGTACAACTGTGCCAAGATGAAATCCATTGATCTATGTAACTAATATTCACTAAGAAAAATAAGTAAAAGTAAAAATTACCATGATCGTCACTATTAAAGTCAATCCTAATGACTAAAATTACTGATGTTCTGGAAAAACACACACCCCATGAGGCAGACAGTGTTAGCGTGGCATTTGGCAGACTTGAGGCGAGCCCACCTTAGTCTATGTCCTGAACACCGATGCTGTACGGAACATTAAGGAGTCTTATACTGCAGGCCTACCTAACTGTTGCACTTGGCCTTATTTTTAGGGTAACCCAAAGCCAAAACCAAAGCTTGCTTAACAAGAAAAATAAAACCATGTGAAGATTCTTTCCTTTCTACTTTGTCTAAGTCTTAATTTTAAAAATTCTTGAGTGTTTTTCTAAGTCTTCTTTTTCTAATAGAGTAGGAGGTTGGAAGTACATTTACTATCACAGTACACACGCAGTTGGTTGTGCACACTTTCTTCCTTAGGGGCTCTTGTAAGAGGGAAATCCTCCAGCAAACTTTATCTAAATCATAAGATTATTCACTGACGTCCACTGGCTCAGAATATGACATGTCCATTATAATGAATTCACCCTCTGTTTTAGCCAAAAGAATTATCAGGCAAACAGAAGATGGTGGGTTATAAAAGGGGCTGTTGGGATCCTCTCACGTACTGTACTCTTCCTGAGGGTGCCACCACTGCCCAATGAATGTCCAAGTTGTTGTAAAGAAATATAAACAAAGCTTATCAAATTTCATAAATTTTTAAATCTATAATAAACTGCTAGTGCCATATTTAATGAAATAGATCAAAACACAAATCATTTGTTCACTGGTCTGTACAGAAGATAATCTTGGCAGCTTCTCGTGACAAGGTTTAAAGCCCATGTAGCACGAAGGCCCATGTACAGGGTTCACTTCGGCTCATCAGATTCCGACCTCAGTGTCCCAGGCACCGTACTAAGTGCTGGGGAATGAGAGTGAACGTGCTGTGCTGTCTGCCCTCCTCCAGCCCTTGGGCCAGTGAGGAAGACAGACACATATACAAGCAGATACATTTACCAGATGATGCAGATTTTGTAGAAAACCAAGGAAAGCAATCCCAAAACATGGGAAAGAGCTAGCTCACAAAGTTTCAGAGATTAGTTGGCTTCAACGATAGAGATACATTTTCCTCCAATTCTGGAGATCAGAGGTGCAAGATCAAGGTGTCGGCGGGGTTGGTTTCTGACAAGGCCCCTGCCCTTGGCTCGCAGATGGCCGCTTTCTCCCTGTAACACTTCATACCACCTTCCCTCCATGCCCAAATTTCCTCTGGTCAGCACAGTAGTTGTTTAGACTATGCCTCCCTTAGTGACCTCATCTGAACTGCATTATCTCTGTAAAGGCCCTGTCTCCAGATACAATCATTCTCTGAAGCACCAGAGATTAGAATTTCAAACTATAAATTGAGAGGAGGGGATCTAGTTTGTCCCACAGCAGGCTGCATCCTACACAGGCCAATCACAAGTGCACTCTCTCAGACAGCTGCTGATGACAGATGTGTGTGAATGATTTAGTGCAGTGCCTGGTACATGGAAGAGCTTTACATTAACCACTGCACAGTTTCCCTGAGCATCACTCAGACAGCACATGTGTTACATACTGACTTGTCCCAAGCACCACTTGGGCAGGTGTCGTTTTAACTGATCAACTGTTTGCATGAGTTACACTCATACATCTATTTCCTTGTTTCAGACTGACTACTTTTACATACTTTTTTATTTAGAATGCTGTATTTCATGTTGTTTCTAATGAAATCTAATAATAAGTTCTGGTTATTTTCTTTTATTAGTTTTGTTTATATTATTTTTGAAAACCTATAATTTTGTGCAACAATCTATAAAAACTCTTATCATGAGTACATTAGACACAATTTTTATACTTCTCCAGGACTCAGTGATATCCTTTTACAATACAAAATGGACACGTTTGGGACACTGAGACTGAAGAGGAAGGAAGTGCCCAAAGAGCTGCAAAAGAAAACACTGAAAGGGGAGACGTGTTAGCGTATCAGAGAGCGAAAGTCTGTGTTAGGAAAGGGAATGACAAAAAAAGTCATGTTCTTATTGTCACCTATTCACAATCCAGAAATGATGGAACTGGAAAGAAGAACTAGAACTAAAAAAATTCCCACCACGGTCAGTGATTATAATAATTCTGTCGGTGATGTAGACAGAGCTGACCAACATCTAGGAAGCTATATGATTACTTTCTGTCATCAGAAAGTGAGGGGAGCTGGGGATTTAGCTCAGCAGTTCGGTGGCCAGCCTTGCAAGCGCAAGGACCTGAGTTCAATTCGTGGTACAAAAAAAAAAAAAGTGAGGGGAAAAATATTATAAAATATTTATGCACCTTCTGGACCAAACAATATGGAACTTATTATTTATTCAAAACAGGGAGTTCAAAAAGTCAGTTACAATTTTGTTTGTCTAATAGACCAAGTACTTGAAAATATGAGACAGCGAAACGCCAGCCAGGATGTCCATCATTGCCGTCTTCACCACTACATTTAGTGTGTGGACACTTTATTAAAATTCCACCACCCGCAGGAAAACAAGGAAAGGCCAACACGACAGTGTAAAGTGCGTCCTTCAAAGAAAGACAGCAATGCAAAAAGAATTAAGAGACTAGCTACAACTGTCAGATTGTAACATTGTGTTATGTATTGAATCTTTTAAGATATACTATACACAGAAAAATTACTAAATAAATTTGATAAAATTATTTTTACATTTTATGTTATCTTATAAAAATTAACAAAAAATATGCAAGTTTTGGTCACCTTGTATTTGAACAGTTGGACTGGGAAGTGGTTAATAAAGGTACATACTATTGCTGGTGCTATTACTGTAATTGTTAGCAATCACAAACTCAGCACCCATATACAACGCAGGTATCTTCAGTGGAAAGTAATAAAGATTAGTGTTAGTACTGTGGAGGAAGCAAAAAGGGGAAAAAAAAAAACAGAAGACAAAAATGGAAACAAGATAACCTAACTGCTGTGCTGACTCCGCCACAGCGCTGACCTGGGCACCGGGACCATGCTTTTCCCAGGCCGCTCGAATCCAAGGCCTGAGCGGACTGGACAGAAGCGTCCTCTCTTCCACGAGGAGGCCCCTCCGACCGGCGGCTGCTCCAACAGTCCCCACTGGCCTGGGCACAGTGTCCTGCACTGAAGCGCAGCTGAAAGCCGTCATCGCCCAACTTCGCCCTTTCCCTTCTGCAGACAGCGCTCCACCTAAGTGCTCCCGTCTTCCTTCCATGTCTTAGGCATCTCATCCCTTGTGCGTGGCCCCATCTCCGATGTCCTGAAACTCTCCAGAGGGACGAACCAGACAGCAGTATGAGGCAGGAGGAGAAGGTGAGGCAGGCAGGCATCCCCGAAGGAAGGAAGGGTGGGCTGCGGCACCTGAGCTTCCCGACCTGAACCACCTGCTTAGACACCTGCCCAGGTAGAGACGGGGTGTGGGGTGCTTCGGGGGAAGGGCTGGACATGGGCTCTCAGTTCTCCTTAAAAGTGGCAGCTGGGACACCATGTTCAGGGACCATGGGCTCAAGAGCACATGTGGACTGCCAGCCCGAGTTGTCAGAGTCTTTTGCCCAACCTGGGGCCACAGGAGGACGACACCAAAATTCAATGGAATTTCATTCCCACCAGGCAAGGGCCTTGTGTCAGACTCGCTTGGTTTAAAAAACATTAAAAATAGTGGTAGGACTGCTCAGAACGCTTTCCTATCATGTGTAAGGCCCTGGGTTTGATCTCCAGCACCACAAAATAATAAAAGTAATAAAATTGTAAAGCAAAGAAAAAATAAAGAGAGCGGGACATTTCTTGCATAAGCAAGCTCGGAGAGGAATATTGAGGGCCATCTCACTGCTGTGGAACGCAACAGATCCCTTTGCGCGGACAACCCAGATGTGATCGAAAACTCTGCCGCCTCCATAGGACCTGTGTGACTCTGGACGAGGAAGGTGGCCTTTCTGAACCTCACATTTCCTCCTCTGTACAGTAACTATAACGTTCATCTCACAGAACTACTGTTAACATGAAATGAGGCTACAGTACAGAGTAAAATACCACCACTAATACTGGAATACAACTGACTAAGAGTCAGGGTCTATCCCATCCCTGGTGTTCCCCTAGGGTGGCTATGCTTTTTGCTTTTGTGCACTGGGGATCAAATCGAGGACCTTCAGCATACTCAGCACTTTATTTTCCCCTGAGCTCCACACTCAGCCACCTTCAAGGGTTCTAACGGTGCCTGGTTAGAACACTCAGCATGCTGTTAAGATTTTAGGTGGTGAGTAAATGTTTTCTAATTTGAATCCATGAAGGAATGCCCTCCCCATGCTGGGAGCTGGGAGCACGCTGAGGGCAAGACTCTCTCATCTCTGTTCCTGGTCTCAGCACAGGATCTGGTCCCAGTGAATCAATCGTCTTTCCGCTGAGTACCACTGGTGGTGGTCAATACCAGACATCACTGGTGGGGTAGAGACAGGGGTAAGGGACTTGTCATCCCTGCCTGAATAAAAAGGGTGGCAGAGAGGAAAGTTATTTAAGAATAAGGGAGAAGTGTAAATAAGGTTCAAATGGTATAAGTGAGTGTGAAATAGGAAGAAAATGGCTAAAGGGGAAGTGGGAAGGAGAGGGAAATGAAATAAGGGAAAATAAAAAATGTGAAAAAAGGAAAAAACGGAAACAAAGTCTTTGTAAATAGGAAGGGTGAAGGGGGTGAAGGGAGGGC